GAGAGAGAGAGAGAGAGCAGGAGGATATATTCTGGTATTTAATAATGCTTTATCCATCCCAGGTCTATTCAAGTCTCCAGATCGTCTTGGTGGTACAGTAATATGACGTTGGACCGTGGACCATTACCTGTCATTTTTCCGTTTATTCCTTTTATTCGGAGGAGGATCAAATGCAAAAAGATATCAAAAGCTCAGGTCACACTTATGAAATTTGGAAAAGCAGTGAGCCAAAAGCAGACGTGATCCAACAGATTGAACATTTTTAAAAAATGATGTTTGTAGTGGAATGGGTAGGGTCTCCAACATCTTTTTTTTTCTATACGGAAGACGTTGAGATATATTCGTGACTAAACTATTCTATTAAGTGTGGCAGCCTTTTTGCTGCTGCACTGCATCACACTGGTCTTTCCACGCTGACCCTAATGTGTAGGGATGTAGCAAACTTGTGTTTGCAATCAATCATCTTAAACACTTACGAGAAGACAGCCTCGTTGTTTTGCAAGGTGACACCAGGGGTGAGGAAGAAATGAGCCAGCTGACTATTGATCTTTTCGCTGAAGGTTGTCAGAGGAAATTGAGTGAAGTCCACACGGCGGGAGACTTGGCAAGCAACGTCTGTTGGGTAGAGTATGTATAGATTGTGAAGCACATAGAGCTTGCTGTTGAGCAGGGATTTGCGCTATACAATTAATGCTATCTACAGACTTCAACATAAGTTAAGGACCACCTTGACAGACAATCCTAAATTTTTTTAACTAAAGAAAAAGACAGCAAGGAATGCTTCAGATATTTGTGCTCTGAAAGTGTTAATGGGTTACCAATGCGTACTGCAATGCTTCCAAAAGAGGCAAAACCATCTCGTACTGCACGGAAATCCTCAGGGAATTTTAGCCAAACTTGCTGTTTTTTATCGACTTGTGTGCGACACCAAGGACCAATTAAAATTTCTGGTGCACGTCATAAACGGACGTACGGTCTCGAACTGTGCTCACTTTGGTGGCAATACAAAGCAGCGTTTGCACAAAATCCGGTATCCCATCAAAATGCCACCAAGACGAAAGCTGAGAGACTTTGATCGTGCTAGAACTATGGCATGGCTGGAGGATGGAGTTGAAGCCCGAGAAGTTGCCAGAAGGCTTGCAGTGTCATACTCTGTCCTTGTCTGCCTGAAGCAGCGCCATCAAGCCACTGGATCCGTCCAAAAACGCTCACGTGCAGGTCGACCCAAGAAGACCACTCAGAGTGTTTGCAAATGGTCCCTAACTTTTGTTGAAGTCTGTAGTATGTATAGATTGTGAAGCGGCTAGAGCTTGCTGTTGAGCGGGGATTTGCGCTATACAAATGCTATATATTATTATTA